CTGTTACCATGGCAACGCTCCGCACAGGCGAGTCTCGCGAGAGTTAGAGCTGGAGAGGGAACACTGCGTGTGATGGCCCCTCCAGCATACCACCGGACCACCAGGCGATCTCCCCCCTCCCTGACAAGGTAAGAAGCAGGGAGGGGGGAATAAAATAAAAAAAAATATAAAGTTTTAAAAAATCCTCCCCCCCCCCCACACATCATCCAGCACTCACACACCCATCATCCAGCACTCACACACACATCATCCAGCACTCACACACACATCATCCAGCACTCACACACATCATCCAGCACACACACACAAACACCCATCATCCAGCACTCACACACCCATCATCCAGCACTCACACACCCATCATCCAGCACTCACACACCCATCATCCAGCACACACACACACCCATCATCCAGCACACACACACACACATCATCCCACACACACACACACACACACACACACACATCATCACCACACAGCACACACACACATCATCCAGCACTCACACAACACACACACATCATCCAGCACTCACACACACATCCATCATCCAGCACTCACACACACATCCATCATCCAGCACTCACTCACACACCCATCATCCATCACTCACACACCCATCATCCATCACTCACACACCCATCATCCATCACACACACATCATCCAGCACACACACACCCATCATCCAGCACACACACACCCATCATCCAGCACACACACACATCATCCAGCACACACACCCCATCATCCAGCACTCACACACACACATCCAGCACACACACACATCATCCAGCACTCACACACACATCCACACACACGTCATCCAGCACACGCACACACACATCCAGCACTCCACACACATCCAGCCTCCACCCATCATCCAGCACTCACACACCACATCAGCACACACACACCCATCATCAGCACCACACACATCCAGCACTCACACACCCATCATCCAGCACTCACACACCCATCATCCAGCACTCATCATCCAGCACACACACACACACATCATCCAGCACTCACACACCATCATCCAGCACTCACACACCCATCATCCAGCACTCACACACCCATCATCCAGCACACACACACACATCATCCAGCACTCACACACCCATCATCCAGCACACACACACACATCCAGCACTCACACACCCATCATCCAGCACTCACACACACATCATCCAGCACTCGCACACACATCATCCAGCACACACACACACATCATCCAGCACTCACACACACGTCATCCAGCGCGCACACGCACACACTGCATTCATTATACACACTCTTCACTCACCTACAAACACACTACATTCACTATACACCCTCTGCATTCACTATACACACTCTGCATTTATTATGCACATTCTGCACTCACTACACACTACATTCACTATACACACTTTTGCATTCACTACAAACACACTGCATTCTGTGTACACACTCTGCACTCACTAAAAACACACTGCATTCATTATACACACTCTGCATTCACTACAAACACACTACATTCATTATACACACCCTGCACTGCACTATATGCATAGGAGTGTAATTTTTTTTTTTTTTAAGGGGGGGGCGGGAATCTTGGGTGAGTTCCCACACTTTTGTCCCCAGGACTTGACCCCTGGTTTCAAAGCTGTTGTAAAATGGAATTGTGAGGCAAAAATATGGTTCTTTGCTGAGGTCATTTGCATACAACCTACCCAGAATCCATTGCAGTAGCAAGAGCACTGTTACAGTGAGATTTCTGTGGGAAAAGCAAGTCTTATGGCTCTTATATATATATATATAGAGAGAGAGAGAGAGAGAGAGAGAAAGAGAGAGAGAGAGAGAGAGAGAGATATTTAAACATTTTCTAGTTTTTTTCGAGAAGCAAAAAAATTATTTTGTTTTTATTCTAAAGAAAATCATGCTCAACTTGGCTTGCGTTTACATTTTAAATTCCTGCCTTCCCTATCTCTAATTATATCAATTAAACTGTTGTGCTTTCATGTCCTTATCTCACCTCTGATCATACCCTGTGTTTAAATTCATAAATTATAGTCTACTCTAGGCTATGATAATGAGGATAAAGTTTAAGAATGTAGCTTCAGAAGCATTGGCTTGGAGCTTTCAGTATATAAAGAAAAAAACACAAAGAAAAAATAAAATCACAACTTAATTCAGCCCCTGTTGACTAAAGTGAGAATTGTGGAGTATTGGCAAAGGTATTACACATTTCAAGGTTAAATGAAAAAAATTTACTACTAAGATTTTGGAATTCTCTATCAGTTCTTTGCAATTCCTGGTTCACAGAATAAACCTGTGATATTATTCAAACACAAAAAGCACACAAAACTTTAAGTGGATATAGTTCATTTTATTATTATTATTATTATTATTTATAAAGCGCCAACATATTCCATGAAGCTTTATGACTGGTGGACATACAAACAACTTTTATTGAGTGGGACATACAGTAACAAAGCTTACAGTTTAAGGGTAATGTTATGCCAATACTACAGATATTCTTGAGTGTCCTGGACATAGATCATCAGATATGTAAGGAATGCAATAGGGACAAAAACCATAATGCAGATGAATTGTTTGGTATTTAATGCATGTTTACTCTTTTTTTTTCCCAACAGAAAGTGTTCATACATCCCTTTTTTTCAGCAGGCCTTTCCCTTTAAGATCATTAATGATGCATGATACATCACTGGCATGCTGGATGGTATGGAATCAGGATGGGTGGGAGCTAGTGGGGCATCGCCAGTGATGCACCATGCAACGCTGGAGATATTCTTAATTGGTGGGCCTTCTGGAAAGGGGGTGGGTCTACCGAATGAAGTGACATATCACTCTTGAGTCAAGAACCAAAGGCTGACTGTAACCAAAGGCTCCAACACAGAAGACCATGCAGAGTGCACTACTGTAGTCTCGCTGCATGGTCCTAGTGCATGCCGCATACGCAAGCTTGTCTAATGTTTCACTCACGCTGTGCTGCTTGGGGACAGTTCCCTAGTGTCCCCAGATGTGGGACATTATGGAACAAAATTGGGATGGTTGGTCACAAACCTAGAATAGGGGCTGCATGCCCCCTGTCCTGATTCCATGCTTCCTAAAGTTGGGAGGTATTATTATTTATAAAGCGGCAACAAATTCTGCAGTGCTGTAGAATGGATGGTCTAAGAGACATGTAATTGTAACCAAACAAGTTGGATGCACAGGAACAGTGGGGGTTGAGGGCCTGCCCAGTGAGCTTACATGCTAGAGGGAGTGGGGTATAGTGACACAAAAGGTAAGGGATGGGTAAAAAAGTATATATGAGACTGTACACATCTAAACATGCATGCTTTAAAAGGGTGTTGATGTGACCAATAAATACCACGTAGAATATGAGTATACTCAAAATCAAACTAGCTTAAAAGCCCATAACATTTTTAAAAACTCCTGGATTATGTAAAACAATGGGGATTCAGTTGCAGTATCTCTTCATACATTACATAAGTCTGCCACTATTTACACAGCACTACATTTTTGGAATGTACAATCCAAGTCTATACCATTCATGAGAATGAGAATTATCCATGTACTTGAAACATACATCTTTTTGGTGCTCTCTATTTCTTAAAACGTAATTTAAAGTCTTTATGGGTTTTAACGCTAGTTTGAATTTTTTTAATAAAATATTAGACAGAGAGCCTGTTAGGATGTTGCAAATAAAATTATTTACTGTATATACTCGAGTATAAGTCGAGACCCCTAATTTTACCCCCAAAAACTGGGAAAACTTATTGACTCGAGTATAAGACTAGGGTGGGAAATGCAGCAGCTACTGGTAAATTTCTAAATAAAATTAGATCCCCCAAAAATTACATTAATTGAATATTTATTTTGTGTATATAATGAATGAAGTGTGTGTGTATATAATGCAGAGTGTGTGTGTGTGTGTGTGTGTATGAATGCAGTGTGTGTATGTATGAATGCAGTGTGTGTATATAATGCAGTGTGTGTGTATGAATGCAGTGTGTGTATATAATGCAGTGTGTGTATGAATGCAGTGTGTGTATGTATGAATGCAGTGTGTGTATATAATGCAGTGTGTGTATGAATGCAGTGTGTGTATATAATGCAGTGTGTGTGTATGAATGCAGTGCGTGTATATAATGCAGTGTGTGTATGAATGCAGTGTGTGTATATAATGCAGTGTGTGTGTATGAATGCAGTGTGTGTATGTGATGCAGATTGTGTTTGTGTATGTGATGCAGAGTGTGTAACGTTGGTGGGGGGGTGGGCATTTATATATTTTTTTAAATCATTATTATTTTAATAGAATTTTTTTTAAATATTATTACAATTTTTATTTTATTTTAATATAATTAAATTTTTTATTTTATTATATTATTTAATTTATTTATTTTTTTGTCCCCCCTCCCTGCTTGTTAGCATGCCAGGGAGGGGGGCTCTGATTCCCTGGTGGTCCAGAGGCATTGGCTGTGTAGGAGGGGGGCGGCAGCGAGCTGTAACTTACCTTTCTTGCAGCTCCTGTCAGCTCCCTCCTCCTGCGTTCCGGTCAGCTCCCCTGTCAGCTCCCACTGTAAGTCTCGCGGTGTGACTGCCACGCGAAGCGTTGCCACAGTAACCCATGGCAACGCTCTGACCCCGTGGCTCTTGCAAGATTTACAGTGGGAGCTGACAGGGGAGCTGACCGAAACACAGGAGGAGGGAGCTGCAGGAAAGGTAAGTTACAGCTCGCTGCCAGCCCCCAACAGGACCGCCGGGCTTGTAATGAGCCCGGCAGTCCTGGTCTGTATTATGGCAATGTAAGTTGCCATAATACAAACAGTGACTCGAGTATAAGATGAGTGGGGGTTTTTCAGCACAAGAAATGTGCCGGAAAACTAGTCTTATACCTGAGTATATACGTTAACTGCATACATTTATAATCAATTTCCAGAATGGGGACATCACATTGTTTTTACTGCGCAAGACAGCAAAGGAACAGGCTAAGTATCTGATTACAGTCATACAGAGTATCCAGGAATTGTAGCTGTCCACATCCTGTGTTTAGTTTCTAAAAATATTTACCTCTTTTCTTCAGAAATCCTACTGGTGATGTCATCTGATGTATTCAACACCCAATTTAAGTATTCACCTTTTCCTTCTTTCCACAGAAAAACACCCAGTACCTGCTGACAGGTATCTTCACTCCCATTAATCACATCTTGATAGTGAAATAAGGAAATATTATGTAAACTAGAAATTGAAAAGAATTGACTACAGCAGATTTAAGGAGTCCAAACGGACACAATGGTCAGACCCCACATGGAGAATGCCAAATGAACACAGCATTACCTTCCATGATAAATACAACTGCGCTGTCTTACACATCTCCAAGTTATGCATTTTTTCAAAAGTGTATAAAATCAACAAGTGTTTCGATATTGGGGATGAATATAGTGCTCAAATGCTAATCATATTAACTGTGATAGATAAACTGACAGCAAGTACAAATAGTAATATAATTTGACTCAAGTATACTGGGTGTATAACTTCTTAAACACTGAGAATATAGTACCACTGGGTGGAGAATAGGTAGGCCATTATGGTGGAATCAAAAGTATACATAACTTTCAAGATGCAAGATTGTAAGAACTATTAAATACAAACAGCTTAAAAGGTGTCAAATATACATTTATAGCAAACAGTATTAAGCTCACAGTCCACAGTCTTATTTAGCCAATTTGCTTCCTAAGGTATCCACTCCCAGTTGCCGGCACAGTATTAATATTGCATTGGTTTAGTCGGCCGCAGGCGTCAACTAGAACTCACAAACTGACCCGGCTACGCGCAGCGCTATAATCAATGCTTCATTAGGATCCAGTAGTGGGTACTCAAGTAGTTGGCATGGAGACATTGACTTGGATTCCATGTCTCGGGGTTTAGGTAAGGCACAAGCTGCATGGTTGTGAAGTTTAGCCCAAAAGAATAGGCAGAGCTTATCAAATGCTTGTAGAAGAACATCCATGTGTGGGGAGTTCACAGCCATGAGAGGCTGAGAAGGAATCCTCTTGGCAGCCTCCATCTTCAATGAATGTTCATTTTATAATCATTTACGTGTGATAATTTAGTAGTTAGGTTTGGGTATCTAGCAAGTTATGTATGTGCATTTGGCTAATAACATGTATATGTATACACATATGACATTGGGTGTGGGTGCAGCGCTCTGTAATCTCAGCAGATGGTAAGGGTGGCGCTGCTGTCCACAAAGACATTTATCTCAGTAACATTATAGTGACAATATTTACGCAGTCCATTTATTACCAAACAATCTCCTTTTATTAAAATTCCACTAGATATTCTAACATGGCAGTGGACAAATTGTGTACATAAATGTAAGCAAAAAAATAATAATAGTTAAAACCAAGAAGGTTTTTTTAAACATCAGTTCCATACAGACTTACATAACATATATTTACATTATATCTTCATTTGTGCACTGTTGATGGGTACAGCCAACCTTGGAGTCAGGGTAAGAATTAAGTCAGTGTACACCTGCCAACTCTTTGTGCCAACTTCCTGTGATTAATTAAAAAGCTCTGCTGAGCTGCTATTTGCCCAGGGAACAGCATACATATGTGTTTCCAAGCATCTGTCTCCTGTTACTACTTTTGAGCCAGGTCCTGGACTGAAACTCACATGCTATGCTGGTGATGTATGCAGGGCCGGACTGGGAGAAAAATTCGTCCCGGGCATTTTTTTAACACAGCGGCCCACTAAGAAGGGGGCGGGGCAGAGGAGGTGTGTTTTGTCATCACCAATGACAAACACGCCTCCTCTCAAAGTGAGCATGTTGGTTCAATGCTCTTCCAGGGCATACCATGCGCAGAGCTCTGCTGAAGAGCTCTAGCATGAGAAAAAAGCCCTGTATTTGTTCTGCACAGTGCAAGCAAATTTAATAACATACCCGCACTGTGTTTCCTTGCAACTTGTCTCTGGTGTCTCTATAAATGGATACCAGGAGACGAAAGGGCCAGGAAAGAGTATTGTGCATGTGTTTGGAGCTTGCTTGTGGTATTGCGTGTGTGTAGAGTGAGCTGATTGTGGTGTGGTATTGTGTAATAAGGTTGGTTTTAGTCATGTTGTGTTTGTGGTGTAAAGTGGTGTAATGTGATGCATATATGGCTATGGGCTGTAGAGAATGTGTGTATTGGGGATATAGCAAGTGTGTGCATACAGGCTATAGTGTGTGTGTGTGTATATAGGGGTGTAGTATGTGTTTGCTTACAAGGAATCTAGTGTGTGTATAGGGGATCCAGAGTGTGTATGTTAAGAGTGTAGTGTGTGTGTGTGTGTATATATATATATATATATTTGGAAGTATTGTGTATGTGTGTGGTGCAGTGTGTTGGGGGGGTTCTGTGTGTGTGTGAGGGGTGCAGTATGTGTGTGTGAGAGTGCTGTGAGAGAGTGCTGTGTGTGAGAGTGCTGTGTGTGATGGGTGTGAGAGTGCTGTGTGTGAGAGAGTGCTGTGGGTGTGAGAGTGCTGTGTGTGATGTGTGTGAGAGTGCTGTGTGTGATGGGTGTGAGAGTGCTGTGTGTGAGAGAGTGCTGTGTGTGTGAGAGTGCTGTGTGTGATGGGTGTGAGAGTGCTGTATAAATGTTAGAATGGATTGTGTGTGTGTAGGGGGGTAAATAAAAACAAAAAACAGGCATTAAATCCCCCCCTCCCTTCTTACCTTCAGCCTGGGAGGGGGGGACCGGCACGCTGGTGACTGGGAGGTGAGGTGGCAGTGTTCCCTGGTGGTCCTCGTGGGTGAGTGAACTCTAGCCCGCATAGCCTGTGGGGCTAGAGTTCACTCTCGCGAGATCCGGTCGTTGACATGGCAACGCGCCGGATCTCGCAAGAGGAACCCGGCGGAGCTTCAAGTTAGAGCTCCGCCGGGTCCTCTCTCCAGCCTGGCTGTCTCCCTCCACGGCGGCCGCATTTGGGCCGGTGAGGGAGATCTTTGATCTCCCCACCGGACCGTCGTGGCAAACAGCGGGGCCGGCGCTAGGAGAGTGCCGGCCCTGCATAGACCGGCAGGGGAGATCCTGGGATCTCCCATGCCGGCCTCGGCCCCACGGCCACCGCGGCCCAGTCCGGGCCTGGATGTATGTATAAACTAGTATGGCATTCTGAATGGCACTATGTGAGGTCAGTGTGACTGCCCCTTTACAAGCCTTACCACTTTCTCCCATAGCAGCAATTCACCTGGACTATCAGGGCCACTATCACATAGACACCTGAGCACAAATAGTACGAGGAATGGATCTTATGGTTTTTCTCCAATAGCATTCACCAATATCTGCACCAGTGGCCAGGCTAATCAAATTTTAAAATGTAAGATTAAAGGAGCACAACGGAACCCAATGAGATGACATCATAAATAGACAGAAAATCAGGGGGCATGGCCTGGTGTTCGGATGGATGCTTAACTCGATGGCTCCTGCCATCTTGTCCCCTAAAAAGCATCTAAAAGCTCCTTTATTCAGGTCTAATGGGTCAGACCAAGAGAGCTGGTACTTCCCAACCGCCCCGGCACCCATTGGCTGCTTCACGTCCGGGTCCCATACCTCTCAACCCCGGCAGCACTCTCAGACACCTCGGCCTCCTGACACGTGGACGAGGAGTCAGGCCCGGAGAGCCCGGGAGCCGAGGAGGTTGAGGCAGGATGCACACCTACCCAGATGGAGCAAATTAGGAGGGATCTCCAAGCGATCACCACCTCTAAAACATACCATCCTTGCTGAATTGACTGCGATACGCCAGGATGTCTCGGCCTTGCAAGAGAGGGTTCTAGCACTGGAAACCGTTGCAGAATGCGCTAATACCCAGCATGGAGCAGCTGAGGTGACAGCAACCAGACATGGGAACATGCTGCTAGATATCCAGAGGCAGGTCGAAGATCTGGATAACAGGGGCCGGTGATGCAACATTAGAATCCGTGACCTACCAGAAGATACAATGGCGGAACCCCTGGAGGCTACTCTGCAGGCCCCATTTAATTATATACTGGGTAACAACGATCCGGAGAGCATCCAGCTGGACAGGGCGCACCTCACCCTACGCCAACAGAGATCAGACGGAGTTACATGGGATGTAGTGTGCTGTGTCCACTCATTCCGGCAAAAAGAGCAGATTATGATCCGGGCCTGGGAGCGTCAAACTTGGCAACGCTACTGTCAGCCTCTTCCAAGACCTGTCTCCATTGATCCTGAAGGCCAGATGGGCCCTAAGACCTGTCAAAAGCATACTGGCTTATCAAGGGGGCTACCTGTTTAGCTTGCACACCACATCAGGTGTTACCTGGGCTACAAACAAGGCCCTGGAGGACGTCCCGGGCTTCCTCCGGACTCTGGCTTTGCCCCACACCATGGTACAGAATTGGATACTTCACCCCACCACTATGCCACCCAGGGAACAGAGGACCGGTCAACGCAGGAAAGTTACCCCGCACACTCCCCCAATGCTAACACTGCAAGCGATGGCACGCAGGCCGTAGGAGTGAACCTGGAGTCCTATGCCAAATTCGCCCGGAGCCAAGGGGTCATCTGTAGGAGCAGAGAGAAACAACATGAGACAAGGGTAAGCTCAGGACTCCCTATGGGGTTCAATCCCGACCCTTGGGGGAGAGGGTTACCCTAGTTTAGGTGGGTTGGGATAGGGAGCTTGCTACCTGGCCACCACAATACTGGCATCCCGCACAATCCCGGACCTACTACCAATACAAGGAGCTCTGCAGTTGAAAATAGATAACTCCATGGCCCACATGCATCGCTCCTGGGGGGGGGGGACCCTCTTTGGCTTGGGTGGTGGAATACTTGGTAAAAGCAAGCACACCGGGTTACTGTCGTGGTACACGAGGATAGGCGTTAAGGAGCTATGCTGCCCCTTTAGTTAAGAGTAATTGTGCAGGGGACTTGATTATCTGTTCAAATGCCATTTACAGGTCATACTTTTCTCATGGAGAGCCGAAAGTGGAGAGGGATATCTTCCTGGTACCTGGCACCACCACCTACCAAACGCATGTTGGGCTCAGTGTACAAATTTTTAATTAATGGGAAGTGCATCTTCATCTTTCTTGTTAGACACATAGTTATTCATTATGGAAATGTTTTTTTACTGCAGTAGTGGGCAAACGATAAAATTAGTATAATATTCTGCCACATGGACTTAACCAGGTTTGGGATTTTGATTGGTCTTAGCAGTGCGCTAGAGGTGAGCGCAAGTTGGGGGGGTGGTCACCAAAATGACAATAAAACACACAGGGATTGCAATTTTGTCCTGGACTCATCTTGGTACATGACCTGGCTATAACGAGAGGTGCAGGGAGGGAACACCCAGGGAGGGGGTGGGGGCTGTTCATACCATCATCTTGCAGGTTGCTCATTATCTCCCCACAGCCCTTTTGGGAAGATGAGATATCGTAGTGCTAAGTAACGGGATACCCCGCATGCCCACATGACCTGAGACAGAACACCGCACCCCGACCTGACTAAGCAGACGCCGATTTAATCATGCCCAGTACAAAGGTATCATGCAACACAACATAGTCTATGATGCAGGGAGTAATAGCAAGTACGGGGATCTTTCCCGCGTTGGGGCAGAGGAGTAGGGAGAGCGGCAGCTTGCTCTTCCCAGTTCTCTGCCCTGCTCATGGATGGGGCTGCCTACTAGATAAGACGAAAATGTGTGCTTCTTACTCACATACCACGCTTCACCGAAACAATGTCCCAACACCCCCAAACACGCTTCTAGGCGCCTGTTCCACGCTTCTCCCAGCAGGGCCCCCTCTCACACACTAGCAGACTGCATACACATAAGACCTGATGCTCTACAAGACCATATAACGGATACAGGTGATGAGCTGAGTTTGGCATCATATGCAGACCCCACACTAAGTTAAGCTGCATGCAGAAAGCAGGGGAGGCTTCACCAACCGGGTTTAAAGGAGGGAAATGGTGGGGCCAACCAAGAATGCATGGAGGCTAGAGCGTAGCATGACCATCAGGACCGGGGCACTTCTTGCCTACGGGGACATCACGGGAGGAGGGTTTAACTCACAGAGTTAGCTCCTAAGTTGAGTGGAAGAAGGACCTTCTCCGAAATTAGTACTTGACCCAATGTCAGGGTACAGCTTCCCAGGAAGCATTAACGTGATATACTCTAAACAAAATATTCTACCAGGGGAGCGACCAACCCAGTGTACTTGGGGATCCTCGCTCCGCGTGTGTCACGTATTCATCCGCTTATAGAAATGTGGTTAATGACATTTACTGTCCACACAGGAAAAGTTGTGCCGAGCAGCAACCTAATCCACAGAAGGTTTAATGCTGAGCAGTAATTGTGCAAATGAAACCTGGTCTCATGTATTCATCCGCTTATAGAAAAGTGGTTAATGACATTTACTGTCCACACAGGAAAAGTTGTGCCGAGCAGCAACCTAATCCACAGAAGGGTTAATGCTGAGCAGCAATTATGCAAATGAAACCTGGTAACTGACTTTGGGGTCAAAGGCCGGTTACAGCCTATCAGAAAGAAAGGAGGGGTATTTAGGCCCAGTTCTCAGCCTGCTCAGTGCCCTGTCGTGGTTTCCCTTGTGGTTGTCCGAGAGCGCGTTCCTGTTTATAGTTTTCTACCTGGTTTTTGACTTTGGCTTTGTTTATTGACTTCTCTATATTCTGGTATCCTGACTCCTGGCTTTCCTCATCGCTGTGTCCCTTTCTGTGTTCACTGACCTCGGCTAGTATTTTTGACTATTCTTTGTACGTTAAATCCGGCCATTCTAAGGACCGGTAATACGTTACTTATTTGTCATCCGTGCTGTACAGTTCTACGTGCTGGATCAAACAGTAATCCTGACAGCGTGTAGCCAAGGTGGTGTGTTGGTCATCTACTTTAACTTTCATTCTTCTTTCTCTTACAACTCAACTTCCCCCCCATCTCCCCACCCTCCCCCTTTTTTCTCTCTCTCTCCCCCCCTTCCCTTCCTATTATTACCCCGACCGGAGGAGGTGCGCTGGGAACACCAGGGTTTGCCCCAGAGTCACTGAAAGTATGCACGCTCAACGCCAGGGGACCCAATAGGCCGGAAAGATGATCACAGCTCCTTAGGGGGCTATGGGAATTCCGCACATCAGTAGCCATGGTTCAGAAAACACATTTCCGATGGGGCGGAGAACCACCCCTGCGCGACCGCTGCTCCCCACCAGATACTTTGCCTTAGACGAGTCAGTAAGAAAGGCAGTCGAAGCGCAACACAATATATCTCAGCTTAAATTTCAAATTATTGATGATGTCCCTGAAACGCTAAGGAAAATAGAATAGGATTAAAAGACTACTAATGAGGGAAGTGTTTTGGATCAGGGAATTGGATACATTATCACCCAAGCGGCTTAACTAAGAATATGATCTGTTACCCTTAATCTGAAGACTTTGTTTTTATTGATTTGATTTTATATAATATCATACTAAATATAAATTTTTTCCCTTTTATCTTTAAAGGCTATTTTATGGCCTGGCTGGTTTGGGCTCTTCTTTTCTCTCACCCTTTCAAGAGACCTTCTTTAGATCATCTGCTGGTTCTTATGAATTTCTACATATGCTGATTGATTATTTTTTACTGGGATCCTGTTTTATTCACATATTCTTCCACGTATGTGATGTGTATAATGCTATATACAAATCACTTGTTTATCTCCTTTAGCAATTTATTAATTTTTATAGTTGATTGATGACTTGGAGTATTTTCCTTGTATACATCCATCTAATGCACACGATCTTTGCACTTTATTGTATTATAGTACTTTGCTATATTCTGCACTTTAAAAAAAAAAAAAATCTTTATTTTGTCGTGCATGGGATAAACAAGGACGCAAGCAACGCCACAACAGCGAGTGCAAGCTCATTAGACATCATAGAAGAACAATTGTGTGGCATAGAATAACATTGCACATTTTTATGTAATAACATAGATTAATCACAAGGTTAGCGTTTATGTCAGCTCTGATATAAGATTTTGGGAGACTGAGTCATATTTAACTTGCTGACAATAGATTTAATGGTTTTATATGAACAAGCTTGAACAGACAAGGTTTGATACGTCTAGCGACTAACTGCTACATTCCCCCTATGCACTATTGGGTTCTCTAAGGGTTAGGGTATGAACATGCAGTATGGTCAGTGGATTCAAACAGAAATGAGATGAAAAGCAATAACAACAAGGGGTATACAGTGGTCATACTGTAGTTTGAAGCTCATGCAGGTGTATGTCTGAGTTACTCTCTGCAAGTATGGCCTTGCGGGAGGTAGCCAGTCCAGTACCATGAGTCCCCCAGAGTCCTGTAGTGCTTCGCCAATCAGCCTATGCCTTCAGGGGTCGCAAGCCAGTCCTGCCGCATGTCGCTCAGGTTTTCGTTCCAGTGTGGAAGTCGACGAGCCTGTGGGTACAGGGAGATAGCAGGTATTGCGTTTAGGCTGGAAAACTTTTCTTTTGGTGTTTTGTGTCTCTTTGTGTTCCAGCTGGGTAGGTGAGGAGCTGCTCCATCAGCTGTTATGGGGAGGCGGTTGAGTCTGGGTGCCGGTCCCTGGGAGGTTGGGGTGCCATGCCTGTGTGTGGAGCAGCCCTTCTGAGTCAAGTTTCGCGGGCGCCTCTTCCGTCTCCTCTGTAGGGTGCGGATGCGTTGTTTGCGCTGTGGGCCCTGTCTCCCCCCGCTTTTAATTTCCGGACGTTCAAATGAATGTTGCTGCTGTTTAGGGGGTTCATCTGTCCCCTCCAGCGTGCCGTGCTTTGGAGTGGCTGCATCTGCCTTCTGTGAGGAGAGGGCTGCCGCTGTTTCTGCGCGGAGTCTGATCTGCTCCCAAAACGCTGCGCAGATGTGGTCTAAAGCCTTCTTTAGGCTCCGGTTTTGCCTCTCAGGGTCACGTCCCGTCTCCATATGGGGTGCCGAGTCTGAGCCCTGGCGGGTATACTGTGCGTGCAGGTCAGCCCCGGGGGTTGGGATACAGCGTGAGGTGCCGGGATGTCCCTCACCGGCAGGTGGGGGAATCGGGGTATCTCACCAGGGCATTCTCGGTAGTTTGTGGGTAGAGGGATCGGCCGCCTCCCTCTCTCCCGTGTCATGTGGTAGGCCGCAACTAGGCCTCAAGCTTGCTCCTGTGAGATGCTGACCGGTTGACGAGGAGCCAGCAGCCAGTTTAGTAGCCCTGGGGTGGTAGGGTCACAGCACGGTCTTCTGATGTCAGATTTGCGTTACAAGAGTCCGCTTATGAGAGTATAATTGAAGATATCTCCAGGAGCTCATGCTGTATGCGACCGCTCGCCATGCCAGTCAAGCCCCCATGTTGTGCTTGATTTAAGGGTCACAATCACAAAGATTATCTCTATATATTCTGCACTTTATTAACTATCGTTGCACTTTATTCTATATTTTGCACTTTATATTAACTATATGCACTTTTGAAATATTAGCACCTTTTTTGTTTTATATACATATATGTGATTTACTTTCACTTTGTCTATCCAATTTTTTTTCCCTTTTTTAATATATATAGAAATAATATGGGATTTTCTAATAAATATTTCATTTTGGATCTCTTTCTGCATCTATATCAGATGTAATTCATGCAGTTTAGGTCTCTTATTAATCTTATTTACATTATATGTCTTGGTATACACTGGGTTTTATATTTATATTTATTTTTCTCTTATTGATACATGTTTAAAAACCTATGTGTGTATTTCTTTGGACATACACACATATATGTTTTTGCTTGTATATGTATTTATTGTTGAACTTTAGTGAATTTGGATACTTTATATCCTTTGGAATTCACTGTAGTACTTGGCTAGTTTTTATTTTTATTCTTTTTTTAAAATTTATTTATTTATTTTACTTATTCTTTCTAATTCTTTTCTCTGTTTTTTTATTTTAATTATTATTTTATTTTATTCATTTATTTATTTTTTTCCATTATTATTTTGATTCTTTTTGATTTTCTGCCGTTATGGCAGATTTTCTATTCTGTCTGTCCTGGTTTTTTTTTTTACTAGTGCTTTAAGGCTGCTCATTTAGCCTAGGGGGATGTGTACTGGCTATTGACTGATGCACATTACTGTGCGCTGCCCGTGCCCTAGACAAGCACCTTGTCGACTGTGCACATGCGCGGGTGGGTATTCTCGCGCATGTGCCCGGACTTTGACAAGCACCTTGTCTACTGTGCGCATGCGCGGGTGGGCTTTTTCTTGCGCATGCGCCCGGACTTTGAGTGCTGTGTACCCTCTGCGGCCATCGTACTTCGTCTTTTTTCATGACAATGACGTAATTGCGCACAGTCACGTGCGGTAGACGGCCCGTTCTCCTCGATGTCTCCTGTTTGATCTTATTGAACCTCAGGTATTGTCATCTATTATCAATTATACAATTTTGGTTATGTGATGCCCTTATTGAAAGGATTTGTGTCTAGAAAATTGCTGATGTGATCTTTTGTAAAACCTGGACCTCTTTTATTAATTCTGTTAGCCATTTACTTACTTATTCCTTACCATGTTTTTTAAAGTCCTGATATATTGATTTGATATATTGAGTGAATTACTTTTAACACATGTTTTTCTAATGAAATTTGTAATTGCCTAATTGATTGTTTGTTTGTATTTTGTGTGTATTTAAGTGCAATTCTGTCACTGTGGTGTTAGTTTGATAAAGACCTTAAAAGGTCGAAACATTGCAATAAATCTGCCTGGAAGCAATCAGTGAGTGCCTGAGATTTTCTTATTCAGTAAGAAAGGAGGTGTGGCGATTCTCTTCTCACACCTGACTCCCTTTGTTATAACCGACTAGGAGGGGGAAACGGAGGGCCGTTTCCTGTTTGTGTATAGTTATATACACAACTATAGGTGTATAGTTAACTCCCAACTATACACTTTCACCATGCTCCATGCGCCTAACAATCGGCAACATCTCTTTCTACAGTCGACACTGCAAAAACTAGCTGAATTCACGTCAGGGGTCTTAGTGTTGGAGGGCAACTTCAACATGCTATTGGATCCCAGATTAGACACGTCATTGATTACGTGTTCATTATGCAACCATTCCTGATGGCCCTTGAAGACTCCCACTTGGGTAACATCACGTGGTCAGACCATCTCCCCATGGGAATATTCATGAAATCTCCCTTGTTTAAACCCAAAGAACAAACTTGATGCCTGAACGAATCGCTGCTGTTGGAGGACGAAGTGACTTCAAAAATAAAAGACTCACTCGCCCAATCCTTCACAGATAACGTCAGCCTGAAAACGACTCAGACGGTAGTCTGGGAAGCACACAAAAGTGTGATACGGGGAAAGATCATTGCCATAGGTGCAGGCAGGAAGAAGGTCAGGTTGGAGGAACTTCAGTCGTTGCTAACCACGTTAGCGACGTTAGAACAGAGACACAAACTAATGCTGACAGATGCAGACATTAAACGCCTGCTACACGCCAGAAAAGGCCCGAAGACACTGCTCTCTCAGCAATAACTACATATGTTACAGAAATCGAGATGTTTGTTTTGCGAGCATTTCAACAAATGTGGGAGACTACTGGCGAAAATGCTGAAGAAAAAGCAAGAATGATTCCATATCAATAGGATACGGATAGAGCCTCAGCGGCGCACGGAACACCCCACGGAGATGGCGGAAGCCTTCAGCAAATACTATAATGCACCAATATACCAGAGGCAAATCCCCTCAAGAGGAGGCCGCTTGCATCTCCGAAATCGACGCATATCTCTCCACACATGTCAATAAGAAACTATCAGCGGAGACGATGGCAGCACTGGACGAAAAGATTACAATAGAGGAATTACATGGGGTCATCAAGACCTCCAAATCAGGCAGAATGCCGGGCCCGGATGGCTTCTCCCTTCGATATTATAAGAAATTTGGGTAAGAACTACTGCTGCACATGCTGACAGCATTCAATTCCCTGCTGCAGGAAGGGAAGCTGGGGATGGAGTTGCTTATAGCGCATATCACCATTCTCCCGGAGGAGGGCAAAGACCCCACGCTATGCACCAGTTATAGGCCAATCTCTCTGAACTGCAACTGCAAATTACTCCCCAAGATCCTCGCAGCCCGCTTAAAACTTACATTTCTTATCGGCCTGGACCAAAGCGGATCCATACCTGGGCGGGCTACGGACAACGACTCCTGAACATAAAACAGCTGGCTACCTCCACGTGCCGTCCCCTGGTCGTCCTCTCCCATGATGCAGAGAAGGCGTTTGACCGGGTGGACTGGCAATTCATGCTCCTTACACTACAGGAAATGGGATATGGGGAGAACTTCTGTCGATGGATTCAGGCACTTTGTTCGACACTTTCTGCTAGAGTACGAGTGAATGGAAGTCTCTCATCGTCAGTGCGGATTATGAATGGCACCCGGCAGGGTTGTCCACTCTCGCCTATCTTTTTCATGCTGACACTGGAGCCATTCCTGGAGGCTATTAGGGGCCAACCCCTCCATTCAAGGTTTTCGCCATGCCGGTCTGGAACACAAAATATTAGCGTTCGCTGACGACCTTCTGTTCTATGTGGAGCGACCACTAATCACGCTCCTGAATATTACCAGTGAATTCCGAAAGTACAGTGCATTGAGCAATTTTAAATTGAACTTTGATAAATCAGAGGCCCTCAACATCACAGTTCCTACGTGAGAACTGGAACACCATTCTCGCAGTTTCACCCTTAATTTCCAGCCACCACATTTCCACGATTCCGATAGCCCTCCAGCCAACCTTTTTCAAATCCCTGAACTTGGCATTAGTCTCTTTCATTTGGAAGGGACGCAGACCTCGGCTACGAATGACACAACTGATGAAATCTAAACAAGAGGGAGGTCTGGGACTACAGTCATTCCTGGGCTACTACCGAGCGACAAGGATAGGGGTACAATATTAACACCCAGAAACTGTGGTCGACACTGGAACGGGAGATAGCAGATAGGAGCATCCCAGTGGTGGTATTGATCAATGAACAGCGGTTTATAGGGGCAACCCTAAAGGTGTGGAACCAAATTCGGTTCAAATACACTCTCATGACGTCCAATGGACCAATGTTCCCAGTTTCGAACAATCCGGACTTCCCAGCGGGACAGGGCAGGCGAACACTGGACTTTTTGGGTAAGGGCACGTACATCAGCATCACAGATCTATGCCAAGGAGACAAGTTACTTCCATCACCAACACTGGTAGGGAAAGGACCCCCACGACCTTGAAAACTTTCACATACCACCAGATACAACACTTTTACTCCTCAATAGCCAACTGCACAGACCTTTATATCCATTTGAGGACATCTGCTCAAGAAAACTGCACTATACCGCGACATCTCCATAATTTACCTCCTGTTCACATCGGAGGACAGGCTGCCCCCACCGGAATTTCAGACAGTGTGGGTGGAATCTCTACAAACATCATTCTCTGCACAAGAATGAACCCAAATATCAACATACACTCACCTCGGCTCTCGCTGTGCAAAATACCAATGTGTAACTATGTAACTGCAGTTGGCTCACTTGTCCATATCTTTTGGGAATGCCCACTCCTGGTCCCCTACTGGAGGAAGATTATTAACATCATATCAGGAAAGACTGGGGAGAGTTGAAGAGATACAAGTCGAAGAGGAAGTGGCGATGGTAGGGGGGCAACTGGACAAATCCAAAGCGTTATGGAGACCATGGACATACTACTTATGTGCCAGAGAATAAGACATGGACGGAGCCTAGGGTCCACCACAGATCACCGGGTACCCACGTGGTCCCTTGGCGTGGACAAGGCTGGGCACGGTGGTGGTATGTCAACAAAATGGAAGATACTCATCCCAAATCAAGCTCGGGGGCACCCTTGCGCCACTCACCCTCAGGGGCCCGGCACGAACCCACCTCCCTATACCAGCACCA